GTGCGAGGCACGGGGAATCCGAGACGAGCGGCCCTGCCTCAGACCATCGGGCGGGCTGTGGCCAAAGCCCGGAGGAAGACCTTTGATCCAGAAGTTCCACCTGCAAAACCTTCATCCTGATAATTAAAGACTCTCTAGCTATGAACACCAAGGGAGTGTTGAGCTATAAAGATTTCATTACGATGGGACTTCTAATTGCAGAATTTGGAGACGAGAGAAATGGCCAACCGTAAGTAATTAGTTAAATAGATGATAGTTCAGCCATACACTTAAGTCATGTTGTAGAATATGGAAAAGTATTTATTGATATGGAAACGTGCCAATGACCTGTTCGTGAGTAAAAAATGCAGATTACAAAATAGTGTATACTATATGGTCCTGTGTGTGTGTGTTTTAACCTGGAAGGATACTGCAAAGTGTTAATAGTGGTTATCTTCATCTTAGGTAATACTACTACAAACAATTCTTTTTTTTCCTTCAGTTCTACAAACATTGAGTTCCTACTAGGTGCCCATCACTATGCTGGGTGTTACATACACAATGGGGGATGAATATGTGGACAATTAAATAATTATTGCATAGTTAAAATTAGAACAAACAGTGAGAGAAGAAGGAAAGGCCTGTGATGACGGAGAGGATCAGGCGAGGGCACGTGGGGATCTGATGGTCAGGGAAGACCTCTGACATTGAAGTCAAGACCTGAGGCTGAAAAGGAGACGACCTCAGGAAGGGCTGGAGGCGGGGCAGGGAGCAGGTGCCCAGCGGAGGGAACAGCATGTGCAAAGGCCCTGAGCAGCAGAGCACTTTAGGGGAACTGAGAGGTCAGTGTGCACAGAGCCCAGGAGTTTATGTTTTCAGAACTGGGGATCAGAAATGATGGAGGACACCCCTGCTCAGGGGAATGTTGTTCTTCCTGTGTCAGATCCTTTCTAAAACACGGCCCTCCTGACACACACACACACACACACTTCCTGAACTATCAGACCTAAGGTTCTGTGCCAGTTCTACCTGTTTAGGTTCAAAGACACTACTAAGCAGGCTAGCTACTACCCAAGTTAATTCTGGCAACAGCCAGTATTTACCATATTCCTTAAAATTTCTGTGTGTGGCAGTGGTGTTTGTGTGTTTGTTTGCTACCCACTTCCTGGACAAGTCACAGAACACGGTAGAGGCGCACGCTCATATCAGATTTTTAGAAAGTCTGGTTGCTAAAGTGAAATAAAAATAGTTAAGGAAGGTGTAAGTCACCTTTTTGAACCATCTAATGGAATTTGGGGAGTTTCTCTGTACAACCAAAATTTTTTTTTTTTTTTTCCAAAACAACAAGAAAAACACACACCAATCTTAGCTAATAATTTAAATGGATGGGAACATTTTCTTTGGGGTCATAGCCAATTTGCTTCATTTTGATGGCATGATTATGGTCCCAACAGATACTGGGACCCTTTTTCCCAAACCCCACACTTCAAGCTCCTCTGCATGATCTGCCACCTTAGGAGAGTCCACATAGAATTTCCAAGTATCGTGCAAGGTCCCAGACTTAATAAAGACAAATGGAAGACGCTTTGGGGCCAAAGCTTGGCTCTAGCCGAAAGTCTGTTTCCCAGCGCAGCCGCCTGCCAGCCGGGTGCCCACCACCTTCTTGGTCCTGTACCAGGGGCGGGAGAAGCAGGCGGCCCGAGCCCAGGTGTTGCGGGGGGGGGGGCAATTCCCACAGGCGGCGAGGATGCGCTGTGAGCGGTCCCGAGACCCTGCGGAGATGGGGCTGGCCCGCCTCCCTTCACACGGAGCAACCCCTGAAGGTGGGCACATTTCGTACCCCGCCTACTGAATGAACACACTGTGGCTCCCCCAGGAGACAGCCTGAAGTGGACTCAGCCTGAGCTTCACCTCTGATTAGCAGGCTAACAATTAATTTGAAAAATCAGGCCCAAGCTCGTGGGAGCACCTAGGACAGGGGTGGGGAGCGTCCAGCCTGAGGGCCGTGTGTGGCCCACAAAATCACTTGGTCTGGCCCTGCCAAGGCAACTGCAGGCAGGACTCTAAATTCAATAAATCTAGTTTTTTTTCATAGCTAATTTCTAAGTTGATAATTTTGTATGGTCTGTGAATGTTGTTATAAATACCCAATGGCCCTTGGCAGCTTCCCCACCCCTGGCCTAGGAAGTGAGGAGTAGGTAGGTGAATCTCATTGGAAGTTGGGCTTTAGAAAGGGACAACCCACGAGGACCAGAGGGCACATCCCCGACGTGCCCTGGTGTCACCCAGAGGCCAGCACACAGGTCCTGTCCAGTCCATGGGCCTGGGGTGGGTGGCTGCCTTTCACCAGCTCCCAGGTGCAACCCAAGGGACTGGAGGAGGGAGGGGTTTTTGGAAGAGCTGGGTCTTAAATGACTTGGGGACAGGGAAGAGGGGTGCCAGCACCAGCCATGTTTTAGCTTTTTTGAGTCACAGATCCTTTTATTAATTTAGTAGAACTAGAGGCCCGCTCCCTGGAGGAAGGCACAGGTGATTACAATGTCAGGGTCCGCCTCCCAGAAGCCACCGCACCAGGCCAAGAGCATCTGATTGTTAAAGTGAGAGCAGGAGAGAAACAGGCCCCCTCAGAAGAGGTACAAACACAAGTGATGGTCAGTCTGCCTTTCTCTCTCACAAAGGCCCATGGCCCCCCCGGAGGCGGTGGCGCTGGTACTTGAGCCCAGGTTTGTATGAGCCGAGCCTGTGTCAAAAGGCCTGAAGATTAAAAGCCATAACCCCCCACCCCCAGTGCACACAGTAGGTTGCATCTCTTCACCTCAGAGTGGAAAGAGCCCGGTTCCAGTTCTGGGAGTGGGTTGCGGGTACCCTGCTGCAAGCCCGTTCCAGCCAGGAGGGGAAGGTGCAGCGAGCTGTGTCCTCAGGGCCAAGGTCAAGGAACCTTGCAGCCTGGTGTCCAGCTTCCACACACCCTCACCTACTCGCCCAGCAGCCGTCCCAGACACCCCAGGCCACTGCCACCCTGAGGTTGTCAAGCCAGCCCCTAGCCCCACAGCCAGGGCCTGGCATGACTCTACCCTGCCAGCCTCCAGCTTGTTCCAGCGGTGACAAAGGGCAACCACAGCAGCTTCAGACCCCGCCCAACTGCCGTCAGACCCTTTATTTCCAAAAATTGTTCATCACAGGGCTCCTTTAAATAGACCCGCTCCCCCGGTCTGAAGTACAGCCCGGCACCCCGAGGTTCCAGCACAAGGGAGGGTGCAGTCTTTGTTGTGCTAACTGCCCGCCAACTTCCATGGCCCCGTGGATCAGTGTCCACTGAAAGGTGCAGAAACGCCGCTGTCCCCCCTTCCTGAACCACCTGCCGCCTTTCCAGCCCGGACCCTCACTGAGCTCAAGGTCATCAGCCCGCTGGTCTGATCTACACACCATTTTCCGAGGCTTGTCCCCCACAGGCCCACTGAAATCCAAGCCAGCCCTTCCTCACCGCACTTACCTGGCCTGATCGGAGACACCTGCCTGGGAGGAGGGGCCGCCCGTAGACAGAAGGATGTGAGAGGAAATGTCTCCAGTCTGATCCACAAGAATCCTCAGCCACCATCCAGGTGAAGGATGTTTTAAAAAAAACCCAGGGCCAGCCCCGATTGTGTAAGAGCTCAAGATCGTAAGGGATGGGCTCAGGCAGGTGGGACGTGAAGCACAGATGTCCCCACACACAAGGCCGCCTCTGCCCTGCCCCCACCCCGGGGATTCCAAGACCAGGCCAGTGTTTTGAAAAATATAAAATTTTAATAAAGGCTACATCTCTTAATTACAATAATTATTGTACCAAGTAATTTTCCTTAAATGAACTCTTTATAATGCATAATTTACAGTATAAGTAGAACAAAATGCCATGGCAAAAGTCATTGAGTACAAGACTTGTAATAAAAAGGCATAAAATATATTTATACATAAACCCCTTTCAAAAAACAAGGGAAAGCTTGAGCCCTCAATATAGGGCGACACACGGATGGGGACACCGTGCAGGTACAGGTACTGTACTGATTTCGAGTCAAGCACTAGAGATAGTGGATTAATACTCTTTCACCATACGATATATACAGACGTATAGTACAAGTAACAGGGGCAAACAGAATGTACAGATTAACTTAATACAAAAACCCGAACGTCAAATGAAGGTGTCTGGGGGACAAAGGGTGCTGCTAGGTCTTCCCACAGCTGTCGCTTCTTTGCAGGGCAGGGGGGTAGTTTCCAGAAGGGCTGTGGCCCAAAGAGTAATTTAAAAAAAAAAAAGACTCCAAGGAATTGTTATCTCAATAAAAGCACAAGCTGAACCCAGAGGTTCTAGCAGGCCTCAGGCATTGGGCGCTGGGCCTTGGTGAGGAGCTACGATAAGTTACAGGATGACTCTGGGGCCCCAGAAGGCTCCCCCCAACTCAGCAATGATCATCCCATCCAACAAGGCGATGTTGCAACGTTAAGTCAAACCTCAAGACCTTTATGACAAAATACAGCAGCACGGGAAAAAAAAAAAAAAAAA